GTCTTTTCCCAGTCTATAGCTTGTCTTAACTCTGTGGTGTCTTATCAGTTAAATGTTTTCCAGGATATTCTTTTTTTTTTTTTTAAGATTTTATTTATTTATTTGACAGAGAGATCACAAGTAGATGGAGAGGCAGGCAGAGAGAGAGAGAGGGAAGCAGGCTCCCTGCTGAGCAGAGAGCCCGACGCGGGACTCGATCCCAGGACCCTGAGACCATGACCTGAGCCGAAGGCAGCGGCCTAACCCACTGAGCCACCCAGGCGCCCCTTTCCGGGATATTCTTATCAAACATGTATGTCTTTGCTTGTGGCTAGTATTTTTGTTTCTTGTTTTAAGAACTCTTGTATTTGAAAAAAATCTGTCCTGTTCCTTTGTACTTGTTCTGTTTCTGAGGCCTTCTGTTAGGTGGTGGGCCTCCTGAAGCAAGGGCTGCGTCTTCGTGTTCAGGGAATTCTTGTTCCTTCAGAGCCCCTCTCATAGCATCCTGGCCTGTTTTATAACTGACGTTTCCAGTCGGGGAAATGGAATTGCAGGTCATTGAAAGTTGGATGTAGCTGCTGCCTCTGTTCTGTTTTTGTTTTGGTCCCTGAGTTTGGTCTTTCCAGCTGTCTGCACTTGTTCCTCACATATCCAGGGCTCCTCTGGTCCCTGTGTCTGGAAGGAAAGCGCGGTGAGGCCGTCTTGGAGCACCCTGCTTTGCTGTGGCTGAGCCATTCTGGTTCCCAATTAGCCTCCCTTCGTGTGTGTGTGTGTGTGTGTGTGTGTGTGAGTGTGTGTGTGTGTGTGTCTGTGTGTCTGTGTATCTGCCTCCCGACAGGTCTCACTCTAAGCTCCATGGACCTGGTTGGGTCTGGATCATCAAGCTGGTTGTGCTTCAGGTTTCCCGGGTGTGCATTGGCTCTCAGGCCACAGACCTCCCTACCCCATGTCCTGTGGAAGAGATTTCAGCTCTGGAGTTGCTGGTCACCTGAGCAGCCTTAGAACCTACCACATTCTTGTGTGTGAGAAGGGTGTGGGCTGTGTTGCCCAAGTGCAAGTGCAGGGCGGCAGGTGGGCATGTTGCCCACAAGGTGGAGTGGCCAGTCGGGAGGTGGGACACCAGGCAGAGCTCTCCTGGATACAGACCCCCCTTTTCCAGCCTCCCTTTCCCCCATCCTGCCTTCACCGTTATCATTTCAGCTCAGGGCCCGAAGCCTCACCTGGGAACCTCTTCCAGCGTAGCCCCTCCTGACCTGTGAGGCTGAGATCTGCTCCGCTGTTTCCTTAGTCTGCCACACTTTCCTCTGTTCCCCGTCGTGCAGCAGTGTGTGGAGCACCGCATGCCAGTGGCCTCTTCGGGGTAGTTCCCATTCTTAGAAAACTTTGGGAGATTTTCCAACCATAAGGTGGAATCTGAACCTTATGTTATTCCTGTTACCATTGTAACAAATCACTGTAAACTTAGTGGTTTAGAAAAGTACAGATTAGGGGCACCTGGGTGGCTCAGTGGGTTAAGCCTCTGCCTTCGGCTCAGGTCATGATCTCAGGGTCCTGGGATCGAGCCCCACATTGGGCTCTCTGCTCAGTGGGGAGCCTGCTTCCCCTCTCTCTCTGCCTGCCTTTCTGACTACCTGTGATCTCTGTCTGTCAAATAAATAAATAAAATCTTTAAAAAAAAAAAAAGTACAGTTACTCTCTTGTTCTAGAGCTCAGAAGTCTAAAATGGGTTTGTAGGCTTTTGGCAGTTGGCCAGCTCTGTCTTCCCGCTGATACCTCTTTGGCATATATTATGTCTTCTCCCCTTTGGATGTCAATAAATGATAACATTTTTCACAGACGAAAGCAGTGGCAGGGGAGCTCTGTAGGGCTGTGTTCCCTTTGGAAGCTCCAGGAGAATCTGTTTCCTTGCTTTTTCCAGCTTCTGGAGGTTACCTGCATTTCTTGGCTCCTGGTCCCCACCTCCATCTTCCCTGTACATCACTCCCACCTCTGCTTCCAGTGTCTCATCTCCTGCTTTGACTTCGACCTCCTCCCTCCTTCACTTGCAGGGACCTTTGTGATTACACTGAGCCCACCTGGTTCATCCAAGATAAGCTCCCCAAATCAACATCCTTAACATAATCACATCTCTGCAAAGTCCCTTTGTCGTAGTAAGATAACAGTCATAGGTTCTGGGATTTAGGATGTGAACATCTCTTGGTCGGCGGCATTATTACAGACACCCTGTTCAGTAACGACAACCATCAGCTTTCAACTTCCTGCCTTTCTTTTCATCTATCCTGACACTTTTCAGAAATTGGAATATGTTAAAGCAAATCTCGGCTATTCTGTTATTTTGCTTATAAACACTTACGTATGTCTTTCTAAAAGATACATAATTTTTAGAAAATAATACCTTTCTCAGTACCTTTACACACCCAATAAAATTAACAGTGATTCCTTATTATTAGCTAACACTCAGGCAGTGTTCAGTTTTCCCACTTGTCCCCTAAATACCTTTTATGGTTGGTTGGTTCAAATGAGGATCCAAAAAAGGACCACACACGCTATGTGTGCGTCACATACTGAAGAAATTAGGTCACTTGTCTTGTTGGTTTGCCTGATTTTGCTATCTTGATGCCATTGGGTGAGTTCCTCTTCCCTTTGTCTCCTGTAACTGATCACTGGACTGGAGGGCTGAGTAGATTCGGGTCCCATATTTTGGGCGAGAGTACATCAGTGGTGGTGCTGAGTCCTTCCTAACTTGTGGCACCAGGGGGCACAGGATGTCTGGGATCCCATTTTCGGGTGATGTGACTTATCAGGCTAACAGTAGCTGCCTCCCTACTAGTCTTCGTGTTATTTAGGCGTGTTCCCGGTCTGCCTTCCATGTGTGATTTAGCAGTCATTGATGATCACTGCCCGTGTCCACTGTTTAGTTAAAGGTTGCGGAATCACTCCCTCATGATTTCAGTCCTTCAGTGACTCTTAGATGTAGTTCATCTGTTCGTTTTTAAATTTGTGCACAGGGATTCCACTGGAATCTTAGGAGGGGTGGTTCTCCTGGTGGTTGACCTGAGGCCCAGTTCACCAGCTTCATGGCTGCCAGTCTGTGGCCTTGAACCTTGTTAAGCATGGGTGAACGTGGAAGCCATCAAGTAGATGCCGCCCCCTGGGGAGATGAGGCGGTCTGCGTGAGCACAGCAGGTGCATCTGGTTGGACAGCATGGCTCCCAGCCGCTGCCCGGGTGTGACTGCTCTGTGAAAGGACACAGCTTGTGGTTTCAGCTCCTTTAGGCTTTGTGCACTTCTCTGTCCAAATGTTACATTTAAGTTAAAGTTTGTGTTATGTAAAACATAGACACATCACCCATCAAGGAAACTGAGACCTAGGCAGGTCTGTAGAAGAAAACCAAGGTATTGGCCTTGATGAGTCCAAGGTGAGGCATAGTTTCCCTAAGAGAGGTTGTGCCCAGCAGTTTTAAGTGCATTTTGCCATCATGGAATCACTGCAGCAGAATCCGTTCTGTGTTTTAAGCCAAGCATTGTGTGAAGTGGTTGAGCCTGACAGTACAAGTTGATGCACTGAGGACCCAGTCATGACAGCTGACCCTGATCAGAGATGAGCCCAGTTTGGGAGCCTTGGCTGGGGGTGGGGGTGGGGCGCAGAAAGGAAGGCTGTGGGAAAGACAGTAACATAGCAGGCATGGGTAGCGGCTCACAGAGGACACTCAGAGTGGAAATTCACTGACCCAGAGGGAGACCAGAAAGCCAGTTTGCAGATGGAGGGGAGGACCTAGAAGCTGTCAGGGCCTATGGGGATTCTAACCTGGCACCCATGATGCACGGCTCAGTCCCACCACCACAAGCGAGAGCATACTGCACTCCACCCGGGACTCGCCGAGATAACAGAGTGCTTAAGAGCACTATGAGAGGGGCGCCCGGGTGGCCCAGTCTATAAGCGTCTGCCTTCAGCTCAGGTCATGATCCCGGGGTCCTGGGATTGAGCCCTGCATCGGGCTTCCCACTCAGTGGGGAGTCTGCTTCTCCCTGTCCCCCTTCCCCCCTCAACCTTCGTGCTCCCTCACTTGCAGGTGTGCTCTCTCGCTCTTTCTCAAATCTTAGAAAGAGCACTGTGAGAGATGTGTTCATTGCAAAAGTCAGACTTAGGTTATAATTCATCTTCCCTCTAGTTTTCTAGTGAGAATTCCTGCTTCTTTTTTTCCCAAAGAGCTCAGTTGGAACATTTTAAAATTCAAATGCCCTTTTTTTTTTTTTTTTTTAAGATTTTATGTATTTGACAGAGAGCACAACCAGGGGGAGTGCCAGAGGAAGGGAGAGAAGCAGACTCCCCACTGAGTGGGGAGCCCGATGTGGGCCTCTATCCTAGACCCCTGGGATCATGACTGGAGTCCAAGGCAGAGGCTTAACCCACTGAGCCACCCAGGCCCCCCAGAACTCAAGTGCTTTTTGACAGCAACTGCTGCTGATTCTCTTTGGCCTGGGCTGCTTTGCTCAAACTTGTCTCACTCCCAGCTCCAGTCCTTGGGACAGGAAAGATCTGGAAATGGAAACCTCCTGATAGTGGTCAGGAGGACAGCCTGTAAACATTTAGATCAGTTATCCCGGTCCAAAATCCACGTCGGGCAGACTCCAGCCCAGTGCTTGTGGTCTGCTTTTGTCCTGGTCCTGCCCTTAAGTATCTTCATCTCCAGAGAGGAAGGTGGGCACTGCCCTTGTGCTAATCCCATCCTCACTAGGCGGTATTACTGGAATGGTGTAAGAGCCTTAGGAGAGATTTGCTCATCTTCACTGTAGTTAGTAGGGGCCCGCATAGCTAATTCCCTAAGAGTCCATCCCAAATACAGGGCCCTCGGGTGGCTCCCAATGGAACCTGGCCCACATCAGTTACAGTACTGAACACATCCAGGACACTTCCTCTTTGTCCTGTCTCTTCCCCAGTACAGTCAGCCTCACTCCATCCCCAGAGAACGTGGGAGGATGTGGCAGCGGGCTGAGCAGGAACATGTATGCTCTTTTAGGAACCAGTGACCTTCAAGGATGTGGCTGTGGATTTCACCCAAGAGGAGTGGGGGCAGCTGGACCCTGTTCAGAGAACCCTGTACCGCGATGTGATGCTGGAGACCTATGGGCATCTGTTGTCTGTGGGTAAGGCAGAGCTGCCTGAGTAAATGAAGCGATTTCCACTACAGTACTTTGTGCTGCTCGGTCTTTAAAAGCTCAAGGGATGCAACTATGCTAATGAATATTAACTAGATTTATTATTATCATTTCACAAAGTATACAAATATTGAATTATGTATACCTGAAACAGATTACATGATATGTCATTTCTATCTCAAGTAAAAAAAAAAATAGCAATGGTTGACACCACCAACAACCAATAACGCTCTTTGGTAAATCTTAAAAAAAAAAAAAGAAAGGCCTTATGGGCATCTCAGAAGGACTGAGATGATCTTGAGCCCTGATGTTCAGGGACTAATTCCTTATGCTTATAAAGCATAAAATGAGAGAGACTGCTTGCTTATTGTGCCCGAGTGAGAACTTGGAAGACTAGGCAAGGGCAGTTTACAAAGCTGTATTTTCCCTCCATGCATAGGGAATCACATTGCCAAGCCGGAGGTCATCTCTCTGTTGGAGCAAGGAGAGGAGCCATGGTCCATGGAACAGGCATATCCTCAAAGCACTGGTCCAGGTGAGGGCGGTCCCCAGCTGGGAGCAAGGAACTTTCCTCTGAGCCTTCCTTGTTTGAGAAATGGGCTGAGGCCACGAGGAGTTACCTTCCTCAGACAGTCATGATTCTCTCCAGGGAGCTTTATCCCATGTATTGACTTTTTTGCAGCTGTTGATACAGAGCAAAGATGGCCACCTTATTAACAAGGTAACAGTTTTAATGAGCTGCATTTTCTTTCCTTGCCATCCACTCTCCTGGTACCTCTCATATTCTCTGCTGCCCCTTTCTCGATGATTCCTCATTCACTTACCTGCTTTTTAATTTTTATTTCCTTTATTGCCAAACTTGTAGCAAGGAGTCACAGACTCTTACTCTTTTTATTTTTTAAGGTTTTTATATAGGTAGTGTATTCACGTGGCTCAGAAAACCCAGAGCTACATCAAAGGAATAAGCTGAAAAGTTTCATTTACTTTTGCTGCTGTTATCTGCATTATTCTTCTCACACCCCCGACACACACAGGGCACATACAAAGGTAACCACTTTTTTCCTATAAATTTTTGAGCTATTTTCTTAGTGGTTGCCCTGGCAATTATAATTAACATCTGAATTTATAACTCTCTAGTTTGGATTAATAACATTAATTTTATAGTGTCTAAAAACTTTCCTTCTGTATATCTCTATACTCCCCCATTTATGCTGTTATCGTCACAAATTACATGCCTCATATGTCCAACATAGACTTAAAATTATTGCTTTGCTTTTGTCTTTTAGATAAGATAGGGAAAAAAGTTACAAACAAAAAATGCATTTGTAATGTCATGTTACATTTACCTATGTAGTTACCTTTATCGGTGCCCTGTATTTTTTTTTTTTTTTAAGAATTTATGTATTTATTTGACAGAGAGAGACCCAGCAAGAGAGGGAACACAAGCAGGGAGCAGCAGAGGGAGAGGGAGAAGCAGACTTTCCGCCGAGCAGGGAACCCGGTGCAGGGCTTGATCCCAGAAACCTGGGATCCTGACCTGAGCTGAAGACAGAGGCTTAACGACTGAGGCACCCAGGCACCCTGTGGTGCCCTGTATTTTGACTTAACTGTCTAGTGTCCTTTCATTTCAATGTCAAGGACTCCCATTTCTTTTAGACCAGGTTTGCTAGCAGCAGACTCTCTCAGGTGATGCTTATCGGGAGTGCTTTCCTTTCCTCTTCATTTTGGAAGGAAGGTTTTGCCAGGTACAGAATTCTTGGTTGACAGTATTTTTCTTTCTAGCCTCTGTGGTTTCTGAAGAGGAATGAACTGTTAATCATATGAAGATCCCTTGTATGTGATGATTTTCTTCTCTCTAGCTGCTTTCAGGATTCTCTCTTTGACCTGTAATAGTTTAATGATTATGGGTCTTTGAGATTCCCAGGAATATATTAGAACTTTTCAAAGCACTGTGAACATCTTAACCCGCAGCTTTTTACAAATCTTCTTGGTTTTGTGTATTGTTTGCTTCAGCTATTTCCCATCATCTCAGGCAGTAGTGACTTTTTTAATACATTGCCTGTAAATGTTTAACAAATACCAGCTCTCTAGAGTGTCCTAGCCCGTGACAACCTTTCAAGGGAGGTCTCCCAGGGAACCACCAAATAGGTCAAATAATGACTGTTCTTTGGGTATGAGGCTTTGGGAAACCTCCAGCTTCATTCTATTCCCTCTGGTACCAGAAATATGGACTTGTAATTTTCCAAGGCTGCTGCGGAGCTGGGGAGCCAGAGATGGGACAAGGGAAACTTGCAGTGCCACAAAGCTCACTGTTATAAAATACAGCTGTTTTTCTTGAATAAACTCCCTCAGCTGCTTCAAGACTTTGGTTAATTTATAGAATTCTGAGGAACTTGATTCTGGCAGTTACATTTTGTGGTTGCTCTTAGGGAATGGTGAAATTTCAAAGGCCCTTATTTTGCCATTTTTACTGACATCTTGCACCAGATAATCAGTCTTAATTTGCACTATTTTCCCAGTTTCTTTATACAACTGCAATGATTATGATTATTTTCACCTTTCTGAAAGTAGATGGTGATAGACACTGTTCTGTATCTTGCTATTTTCAGTTTAACACTGTGCCGTAGCCTGCTCTTAGCCCTGAAGGTGGGTGTCCTCCCATCCATTCTAATGAACTGGGCTGGTTTGGAGTCTCATCAGTTGCTTCCATTGAGATCTGAAACCTTCCATCAAGGGCTCATGAATTCTGGAAGCTTTCACTCTGCCACTTTTGCTGCTGACCATTCTGGGTTACCATCTGGAGCCACCGTCCTAAGCCTCCAACCTCACGCCTCTACCATCTTGCAAACCGTCTCAAATATCTCCTTAGTCTTGAGAAATCAGGAATCTCATCTCTTTGTTCTAGATGGTTTTCCCCTCTTCTTGATGCATATCCCTGGCACCAGCCTTCTGTGAGTCCCCTAAGCTAGAATTGAGAAGTCATCCTGACTTCCCATTCTTTCCTCTCCAAGAAGTAATCTCTTTTCTTCCTCTTAAAAGTTTCTGCCTCTGAAATGTCAGCTTTATCATTCAGCTCCCACCAATTCTCAGGTTCCTTACAAAATTCCAGCTCAAGTTAATGAGTAAATTCTTACTATCAGTTACCTTAGGCGGTATCTTCCATTATGAGGTCTCTGTCAGTAAATCTGTAGTGATTAGAGTAGCCTTTTCAATAACTCTGACTAGATTTCAAGACCTTCAGTTTTTTCTCTTATTTTTTCTCATTTTCTGACTAGCTCATGCCATTTAAGAGCAGTCTATTTGTAGTCAGGTGAGGCTCGAAGGCCGAGCTTATGTCATTTCTCTTGTGTGAAACCTTCCTGGGTTGCTTCTATCAGTGCTGATCTCCTTTTCCAGCCTCCCACCCACCCACCATGTACATCTCTACAGTGTCTCAGTGATACACTGTGTGTTTTGTCCATAACTGTTCAGAAGTCCTCTCCTCACATAGATTCTGACTTGCAGTTTATTTTTTTTTATTTTATTTTTTTAAAGGTTTTATTTATTTATTTGTGAGAGAGAGAGAGGGAGAGTGAGCACAGGCAGACAGAATGGCATGCAGAGGCAGAGGGAGAAGCAGGCTCCCTGACGAGCAAGGAGCCCGATGTGGGACTTGATCCCAGGACGCCAGGATCACGACCTGAGCCAAAGGCAGCTGCCCAACCAACTGAGCCACCCAGGCGTCCCTGACTTGCAGTTTAGACTCTACTTTGTTGTCTTGTCTCTGCTTCTGGATACTCAGGCCACAAGTATCGAATATAAAATTGGACAAGAATTGTTCATTTGGGGGGCACCTAGGTGGCTCAGTGGGTTAAAGCCTCTGCCTTTGGCTCAGGTCATGATCCCAGGGTCCTGGGATCGAGCCCCTCATCGGCTCTCTGCTCCGTGGAGAGCCTGCTTCCTCCTCTCTCTCTGCCTGCCTCTCTGCCTACTTGTGATCTCTGTAAAATAAATAAATAAAATCTTTAAAAAAAAAAAAAAAAGAATTGTTCATTTGGTCAGCTACTATTTCTTAAAGTTCCTTTTGGAAGGATTCAAAAGCTGTATGGTGATCATTCCCTAACTTCTAGGAGCTAAGCTTGAAATTGGTAATAAATACAAGTTCTCAAGCAGAGTAGAGCTCCTTTTGTAACAGACTTGGATAGTAAAAAAAAGGAAACGGTTTGTAGGGAAGAGAGAAGAAAAACCTAGAGAAAGAGGACAAGGATGTAGGGCCTGTCAGGTGTCTGTAGCTTTAGACCCTGTGGTAGGGTGAATAATGACAAGCCCCCCCGCCATCCTTACCCCCCAAAAGATGTCCACATCCTTTTTTTAAAAAGATTTTATTTATTTATTTGACAGACAGAGATCACAAGTAGGCAGAGAGGCAGGCAGAGAGAGGAAGGGAAGCAGGCTCCCTGCTGAGCAGAGAACCGGATGCGGGGCTCAATCCTGGGACCCTGGGATCATGACCTGAGCCGAAGGCAGAGGCTTTAACTCACTGAGCCACCCAGGCGCCCCAAGATGTCCACATCTTAAATATATGAATATGGTACTTCACATGGCAAAGGGGCTTCCCAGACGTGAGAACCTTTGTAGATGGAGGGATTATCTTGTGTTATCTGAGTGGGCCCATGGTAATCGTAAGATCGTTATGAGAGTGGGGTAGGAGTGTCAGAGACACAGAAAGGAGATGTGGTGACGGAAACAGGATAGAATGATAGGCTTTGAAGATGGAGGAAGGAGCTGTAAGCCAAAGAATGGAGGAAGCTTCTAAAAGCAGGAAAAGGCAAGGATTTGGATTCTCCCCTCGAACTTCTAGAGGGAAGCTACCCTGCTTTTAGCCCATTGAAAGCCATTTTGGACTTCTGACTGCCAAAGCTATAAAGTAATAAGGTTGTGTTATTTTAGGCTGCCATGTGTGATAATTTGTTACAGCAGCAATAGGAAACTACTACAGACCCCTCACTTTTGTTGGTGATACTTTCTCTTAACCCCATCCCCTTCTTCTGGGGAGACAGGTGTCATAATGTGTGGGAGGAGTCAGGATATTATAACACAGAAATGAATTAGGACATTTTAATCATTTAAACATTAGTTAAGGGGCGCCTGGGTGGCTCAGTGGGTTAAGCCTCTACCTTCGGCTCAGGTCATGGTCTCATGGTCCTGGGATCGAGCCCCACATCGGGCTCTCTGCTCAGCAGGGAGCCTGCTTCCCCTTCTCTCTCTGCCTGCCTCTCTGCCTACTTGTGATCTCTCTCTCTCTCTCTGTGAAATAAATAAAATAAACTAATAAAACCTTTAAAAAAATAAAAATAGACATTAGTTGAAGGTGTGGTTACTTATGTATTTTTAAAGCAAGTTATTTCTTATTTTTTCACCTTAATAGTACTCACTTTGTCCTTTGTCAGGGATCCCTCAGATCACCTTTAGGTTCAGTGATTCCCTAGAAGGACTCAGAGAACTCAAAAGTCATTATATTCAGAGTAATGGTTTATTATGGTGAAAGGATACAAAGCAATGTTAGCAAAGGGAAAAAACACAAGAACCAAGTCCGGAGGAGACCAAGTGCAAGCTTGTAATAGTCCTTTTCCAGTGGAGTTGCAAAGGACACATTTAATTCCTTCAGCAGTGAGTTGCGACAACATGTATGAAGTGTCATCTACTTGGGAAGCTTGCCTGAGCTTAGGAGTCCAGGGTGTTTACTGGGGATTGGACATTTGGGTACACAGCGCCTGCAGGACTGATTGTAGTCACTGAAGCTCCACATCCCCAGAACGAAAACAAGTGTTTCCCAGAAAGAAAGCAAATGACATTTGTACGAACTATTTAGTGATACTGAGACAGCGTGCTTCAAGACCTCAAGCATGTAGAACACTCCTAGACCATTCTAAGACCTCAGTTTCTGTAGCTGGCCAAAGGCTAGTCATGAAACAGGCCTTTGTGGAAATGTGCAGTTTGACCAACTCAGGTATGCAGTTAACTTTTTTTTTTTTTTTAAGATTTATTTATTTAAGAGAGAGACAGAGATAGAGAGCAGGAATGGGAATGAGAGGGAGAAGCAGGCTCCCCACTGACCAGAGTGCCCAACGTGGGGCTTGGTCCCAGAACTCTGAGATCATGACCTGTGCTGAGGGCAGATGCTTAACCGACCTAGTCACCCAGGCGCCCCATGAGGTTAACTCTTTACCACACACCCTTATTCTGGTTTTCCTTTCCATGGGAAAATACCCCTTAAATGGTTTTTACTAGTATCCAGTACACACTTAACTCTGGTTAACATTCTCTTTGTTGTTCACTTTTCACTATCCTCCTCTTCCCTATTACAGTCTTTCTTTGTGTTACACATCTGTTTGAAAAAAAGTCCACATTTGCCTTTTCAATAATATGGACAGTAAATCTCACTTTTTCCATTGGGTTCTTAGAAGTTTTTTCTCTGTGCTCTAATGGCCTTTTTTTTTCCCCCCCATTTTTTCAGAGTGGATGAGAAATCTTGAAAGCAAAGCATTGATCCCAACACAAAGCATTTTCGAGGAAGAACAATCCCATAGCATGAAGTTGGAAAGATATATATGGGATGATCCTTGGTTCTCCCGGTTAGAAGTCCTAGGATGTAAAGACCAATTAGAAATGTATCACATGAACCAGAGTACAGCTATGAGGCAAATGGTCTTCATGCAAAAGCAAGTACTGTCTCAAAGAGGTTCTGAATTCTGTGAACTTGGAGCAGAGTATAGCCAGAACTTAAACTTTGTTCCATCTCAGAGAGTTTCTCAAATAGAACATTTCTATAAGCCTGGTACAAATGCTGAAAGCTGGCGGTGCAACTCAGCCATAATGTATGCAGATAAGATTACCTGTGGAAACCATGATTATGACAAAGCCTGCCACCAGTCCATACAGCCTATTCAGCCTGAAAAGATACAAACTGGAGATAATCTTCTCAAATGTACTGATGCTGTTAAATCTTTCAATCATATACTACATTTTGGTGATCATAAGGGAATGCATACAGGAGAAAAACTCTATGAATATAAGGAATGCCATCAAATCTTTAACCAGAGCCCGTCATATAATGAACATCCGCGACTTCATATTGGAGAAAATCAGTATGATTACAAAGAATATGAGAATATCTTTTATTTCTCATCATTTATGGAACATCAGAAAATTGGTACTGTAGAGAAAGCATATAAATACAATGAATGGGAGAAAGTCTTTGGGTATGACTCATTCCTTACTCAACATACAAGCACTTACACCTCAGAGAAACCCTATGAATATAATGAATGTGGGACGTCTTTTATCTGGAGCTCTTACCTTATCCAGCATAAGAAAACACATACTGGAGAGAAACCCTATGAATGTGATAAATGTGGAAAAGTGTTTAGGAATCGTTCAGCCCTTACTAAACATGAGCGTACTCACACTGGAATAAAGCCCTATGAATGTAATAAATGTGGAAAAGCCTTCAGCTGGAATTCTCATCTAATTGTACATAAAAGAATTCATACAGGAGAGAAACCTTATGTATGTAACGAATGTGGAAAATCTTTCAACTGGAACTCCCATCTTATTGGACATCAGAGAACTCATACCGGAGAAAAACCTTTTGAATGTAATGAATGTGGGAAGTCTTTCAGCTGGAGCTCCCATCTTATTGCCCATATGAGAATGCATACTGGAGAGAAGCCCTTTAAATGTGATGAATGTGAAAAAGCTTTCAGGGATTACTCTGCCCTTAGTAAACATGAAAGAACTCACTCTGGAGCAAAACCATACAAATGTACGGAATGTGGAAAATCCTTCAGCTGGAGCTCCCATCTTATTGCACATCAGAGAACTCACACAGGAGAGAAACCCTATAACTGTCAGGAATGTGGCAAAGCATTCAGAGAGCGCTCAGCCCTCACTAAACATGAAATAATTCATTCTGGAATCAAGCCTTATGAATGTAATAAATGTGGAAAATCCTGCAGCCAGATGGCTCACCTCGTTAGACATCAAAGGACTCATACTGGAGAAAAGCCCTATGAGTGTAATAAATGTGGGAAATCCTTCAGCCAGAGCTGTCACCTTGTTGCTCATCGGAGAATTCACACCGGTGAGAAACCCTATAAATGTAATCAATGTGAAAGATCCTTTAACTGTAGCTCTCACCTTATTGCACATCGGAGAACTCATACTGGAGAGAAACCATACAGATGTAATGAATGTGGGAAAGCATTTAATGAGAGTTCTTCCCTGATTGTACATCTTAGAAACCATACTGGAGAAAAACCCTACAAATGTAATCATTGTGAGAAAGCTTTCTGTAAGAATTCTTCTCTTATTATTCATCAGAGAATGCATAGTGGAGAGAAACGCTTTATATGCAATGACTGTGGAAAAGCCTTTAGTGGTCACTCGGCCCTACTTCAACATCAGAGAAATCATAGTGAAGAGAAACTGTGAATTGAATTGATAGATCTTTCTTTTATTGTACATTTGGTAACATATTGAAAAAGAAAAAAAAAAGCCTATATACTAAGGGGAAATTTTTTAGTAAGAATCCAGGAAGACTTACTACTCAATAGAACATATCTTCTTAGAAGAAACCTATGAATGAGAAGACTGGAAGAAGTTTTCAGAAGTTATGTAGCCTTTATTTAACTCAGATAATTACAGTGAAGAAACTCCAAACTCCCCTAATGGTCCACCAGGAATCCTACTTAAGGAACATGGATGTAGGGAATGAGACTTCTTTTCGCAAGAGATTTCAGCTATTTGTGGATCTGAGTGCATTGTTGAGGGGAAAACCTTATTCTGGGAGAAGTTTTTCAATGACAATACACTGTTTTGCATCAAGCTGGAATGATGGATGGGAAGCTTAGTGGAAGTACAGATTTTGCTGTTGTAAAGGGAGGATGTGGGTGTCCTTTAAGGAACAGAATATGAAATACTAAATCTGAATTTAAGAAAAAATAGTATTGAATGGGATATTTACTATTGATCAAGATTAACCTTAGAAAAGATTAGTAAATGAGATTACTAATGGTGGAAAGATTATTACCTAGAAGTGTGAGACTGATGGTGGAACAAGAGGTGACAGTTTATGACCCATTGTGTCAGTGTCCATGGTTCACTCATGATTGCATCGTTGGACAATTCATTTGTAATTTGTTTTAGGCAATCACTAAAGGTTATAATTGTGGACACTGCATCAGTATACATAATGTTAAGGAATGAAAGAATGCAAAATTGTACATACATATCTATTATAACATCTTAAAAAATGTATACCATCTGGATAGAGACTGGAAGGACCCATGGAGAAATTAACCTTGTTAGTTTAAGATTTTTTTTAAAGTTTTATAAACACATACAGCACTTATCATGTGCTAGGCTTTGTTTTAAATGCTTTTCAAATATTAACTTGTTCAGTCTCCTTAATTCTGTGAGATAGGTACCTTTATTATCCCAATTTTATAAATGGAGAAATTGGGGCAGAGATGTTGAGAAACCCACTTAAGTACACACAGCTATTAAGAAATGGAATTGAGATTTTTGGCTTCAGAGTCATGTTTTTAACTACTATGTTATGCTGTCTCTCCAGTGGTCTTTTTCTCCTATTTTTTTTCTTTTGTTCAGTTTTCTATGGTAGATATTTAATAATAAAAATCCAGAAATCATGAAACAATGAGAATGTTACCTTGCTCTCTTTCCTGAGTGATTTCTGGTAACATGAGAGCTAAACTCCCTTTGGAATATGAAATCTGGATTAGACATTCAGAATCAGTGCATTTTCTGGGACCTGGGTTCCCTAGGATTTCACTACCCACAACCCTGAGGATTACAGCACAGCAATGGCTGGGACACTCACCGGAGGTTTGGGCAGTGCTGAGGAATGTCCCTTGATGGGTTTAAAGTGGCCCTCACGGCACACAGAGCAAGAGACACTACTGCATATGGGAGCACTATTTCTCAAGGTCTCCCTCAAATTCCGTGTTCATGCTTTCTTCTCTAGCTGAGAAGACTGCTTGATAGTAGGGGGGCTTCAGAGGGAAGGAAGCTCACCAATTCATCAGTGTGAAGAGTGGCTCCTAGTGGAAAGAAGGCAAGATGGTTAAGAGGATTTAGGTCCCTTCTCTCCAATTTACAAATATTTCCTGTATTTTCCTAAAGTAGGGCTATAATTAGAGGCCAACAATTCTTGGATAGGTGTCAAGGTTATGGGTTGGAAATTTAGGATGCAAAAGGTTCATCTAGTTCTTGCAGGGCCCATGACCCTCCTGTTGGTTGAGAAAGTGGCCTACTGGTGTGGGGAGGCTGTGTTCACCATCTGACGCCTGTAGATGGAACTCACATACGTATGTCACACCTGTTTCCCTACCTCTCAGGGCTTAATGCAGAGTGGTCACCCAATAAATGTTACAGGAGTAAATTAACTGAATGGATTTCTCACATGATTTGTGCAAAGACCTTTAGAGAGAATAGAATTAGCAACATCTCTGTAAGAGAAAGTAGTATGTATCAAGCCATATTGTCACTACATGGGTATAGTATTTTAATACCCGATGTAATACACTTTGAGCAAATCCAGTTTCTCTGATTTAGGGACTCCAAAGGATCTCATAATTCATATCCAATATTATACAAACATCTTGACAAATTATTGTCTATTCCCCAGCTTAATATTCTTTAAATTTTTTTTTCTAAAAGTACCTCTTGTGGCCCAGCCCATATCACAAATCAAGAGAAAGTCTCAGACTTTTGCTTCCTCCTGGAAGGATCCCCACATTTCTACCACCTATCACACAGCCTTATGTGCACAGTGTGGCTTGGATGTCAGGACTCCCAGGCCCCCTCGCCTCCCTTATTCTAACCCATGTATAGCTCAGTTCATTGCCCTCTTGACCCTATCTTCAACTCCTCATCAGCTCTGGAATCTTGTGCTGGGCCCACGTGGAACTCTTACTCAGCCATGAGTTCTCCCCTTTTACCTTCCTGCTGTGATTGAAGCTGGGATCTCACATAGGCAGTATCTCTTACGGTGGCTCCTTTCCCTCCCACTTTTCTCACTTGTTCCTTCTAGATTGTTCCTCCCTTCTCTCTAAAACTTATCTCTGTTTTCTTGGAACAAGAGACCATCACTCCTACTTTCCTTCATTGCAGTCATCTAATGGGTCACTCATCCACATATCAAAGATTTCAGCACCTGTCCCACTGCATCCAGAGCCACCTCCACCATAACACTTCCTGGTTCCGTCATCCATCTAGATGATCTTCCCATGTCCTAACCTCAGGTCTTTGGCCCCTCTGCACATGGTTTTGTCAACCAGTAGGACTATTCCATTACTAGTGCCTGGAATACCTCCACCTTCTGTTACCTAAGCTAGTTGGCTATTTGGTATCAAGCTTCCAACAGTCCCTTGACTTAACCTTCCTTCATGCTCACTGCCAGCAGACGACTTTGCTTCCTATTTTGCTGAGAGAACAGAAGCAATCCGCAGAAGCCTGCCGTGACATCTACCTACCTTCCACAGTGTCCATGCTTTCCCAGAGACACCTGTATACGAACTCACTGGGCTGGCTCCAGAGCCTATCTCTCCTCCCTACTACTAAGGGCATTGTTCCAGCAGCTTCCCCTATCTCATATATCATCAGGTTTTCCCTGTGTACTGGATTATTCCCACCAACATGCAAACATGCTTTAGAAAAAAAAAAAAAAAAGGAAAACCTCCCAGTACCACTTTCCCTTGTAGCTCCTGCATAATCTGCTTTGTTGTAGAAAGCAAATTTTTTAAGAGTTGTGTTTTCTTACTGTCCCTACTTATTTTCCATTCTTTCTTGAACTCGCTCCAAAGCTACCCCACTGCCAGATGTCGTCCACATTGCCAAACCTAGAGGTCAATTCTGTTTTTTTTCTTGAAATAGCATTATAGATAATGGATCATTTCCTCCTTAAAACATGTTTTTCAGCTGGCTTTCCGGACTTCCCTCCTGATTCTAGCCTTCATTTTGGGCCCCCTTGGATGTTTACTTCCCACTTCTCTTACCTGTTATTGTCAGGGCACCCTGATTTCTACCTGTTTACACCTCTGATAGTCTCATTTGGTCTCCAGGCTTCAAACACCACTGGTATGCTAAGGACTTTACTTTTGGGGCTACAGTTTGATGAGTGTTGAAAATACATACATTCTTGGGGTGCCTGGGTGGCCCAGTGGGTTGAGCCTCTTTCTTCAGCCCGGGTCATGGTCTCGGGGTCCTGGGATCGAGCCCTGCGTCAGGCTCTCTGCTCAGCAGGGAGCCTGCTTCCCCTTCTCTCTCTGCCTGCCTCTCTGCCTCCTTGTGATCTCTCTGTCAAACACTTAAATAAAATCCTATATATATATGTATATATACATATATATGTATATATATACACACATACACACTCATGTAACCACTACTACAACCAAAACAGTATTTTCAGTTGTCCCAAAGTTCCTTTATGTCTCTACAGTTCATCTCTACCTGACCTCACTCCCCCAAGCCCTGGGCAACCACCAGTCTGCTCTGTCACTACATACTAGAATTGTCTTTTTAGACTTTCGTATAAATGGAATCACCTGGTATTCTAGTCATACATTTACCTTTATGTCCAGATTTTTTGCTCAACATCATGGGGGTTTTTGGAGTCTCATCCATAATGTAGCATGTACCAGTGGTTTACTCTTTTTTTTTTTTTTTTTTTTTTGCTGATAGCATTCCATTATGTGGTGGTGCTACCATTACTTAACCTATTCACCTTTTGATGAACATTAGGTCGTTTCCAGTTCTTGGCTATTATAAATCTAGCTGCGATAGACATTCTTCTACAAGGCTTTTGTATATGCAAGTTTTCATTTATCTTGGGTAAACACCTAGGAGTGGAATAGCTGAGTTTTGTGTTAAGTATATTTTTAAGTTAATAAGACACTGTCTTTGGGACTTTTAATCTGATGTCTTTAATGTTTTACATTCTGAGAAATTTGTCTTTTTATGATACTTTTTTTTAAGAACAGGAACAACAAAACATTTTTGCATGAGGATATAAGCATAGGGAGAAGAAAATAGGGATTTCAAAGACCATCACAAGAGATGAGAGGTCATTTTTTAAAAGCCTGTGATATGCTTAAATCTGAGACCAATGAATAAAGCCTTACTTTTGTTTGAGTGACAAATGGTAATAGCAATGAAAGAAGCAGAATGATGATAGGGAGGCTTGCACAAGGATTGGTATATATAGAAAACGGAATGAGCCAGGCCTGTCTACAGCATCAGGCTCTTTCTGCCTGGATTTCTGTTAAACCTCCTTGATTAAGACCCTTCTGGGGGTCTTAAGCCATCTTACCTGGATGGCTCAATTGGTTAAGCATCTGCGTTTGTCTCAGGTCATGATCTCAGGGTCCTGGGGTTGAGCACCATGTCGGGCTCCCCACTCAGCAGAGAGTCTGCTTCTTCCTCTCCCCACTTGTGCTTGCTTTCTTGTTCTCTCTCTCAAATAAATAAAACTTTTTAAAAATCTTATGGGGCGCCTGGGTGGCTCAGTTGGGTTAAGCATCTGCCTTCAGCTCAGGTCATGATCCAGGAGTCCTGGGATCAAGCCCTGTGTCTGACTCCCTTCTCAGTGGGGAGTCTGCTTCTCCTCTGCCTCTCACCCCACTCGTTACCTCTCTCAAATAAATAAAAAATCTTTTTAAAAAATCTTATTAAAAAAGACTCTTATAACACATAGTGGGCTTTGTTTTTCTGAACTTCCACTGTTCTTTTTCTACGTCTTTTATACGTCCTTGATGGTTATGTGCAGGAACAGCCACTTATACCCGTTCATGGTGCTAATCCACCAGCGTGCTCTGCTCACCAGCTCTAGTCCGCTTCTTTGGGAAGCAATCAAGTATTTCCAGACAAGTCCATCTTCTGATTCTACGCCTCGGTATTTCCTTTCTAAGGTTTTAACATTTATTTCCCTCTTTTTAATTTTCCTTGTTTACCAGGGAGTAACTACCTCCCTTCTCATTTATGACTAAAAGAAGAAGAAAGAACTAGGAGGCAATAAATCATCCTACAGATAGTTAAATTTGGCAAATGTTTTACTTCTTTCCAAAGTCAAATTCCTATGTTTCTGACTTTATCTTGAGTAACCTTGTGTATAAATGGTGTTATGTCTGTAGTAAAAACAAGGTAAACCACAATAGTAATTGTAATAGTTATTAGCATAGACCAATATACAAATATTATATATTTTTATAAATGTAATAGTATAGTAAAAGAATTTTGAGTGACATATTCTGGGACATGTGTTAAACACTTTATGGAAATTTATGTCTTTATTTTTTAATATTTCATCCTTTTGATTTAAAGTGTTTCTCTTTTAGGACTCCTGTTATTCAAATGTTAGCACACTTATGTCTATTGTCTATATTTCTTGGCCTTTCTTTTATGTTCTCTAATTCCTCTTCCTTTTTTCTGGACATTTCCTCAGTTTGCTCTTCCAGTTTGCTAATTTATCAGCTGTCCATTTTGCTATTTATTTCCCCTACTGTGTCTTCATTTCAATAATTGTTTTACATACCTAATATTTATATTTGGTATGTATTTATATACATGTGTGTGTGTTAATATTCTCATTTCCTTTTGCTAATACCATGCCTTATTTCTTTAAATGTATTTAATAGACTAATTTAAAATTTTGGTCCATCTGTTCTAATATATCTGCTTCTGATGGAATCTGTAATGCAGTGTGTATTTTTTCCTGAAATTGTTAATGCTCAGAAAACTGCCTATTACTTTGGCCAGTAAGTGTATTTCCTCTGGGGCCATTGGTTACTCCATCAATTGTTATGCATACATGTGATGGGATCAGATTCTGGTCCCTATAAATAGTTCAGGAGTGGGGAGAATGGATCCTGGAAGGGGAGGTCAAGGCATCAGAAAGCTGATGGTCAATGACTCCTCACCTCATGAGGTAAGAGTCCTTGGAATGTGATTTGCCATCCCCAAGCTTTGAGGAGGCGGGGCAGACAAGCACTTGCCTGATGTAATGTGGTCTCTGTTTCTCGGCTACTCATAAGCACAGCCTTGCCTTGATCCCACTCTTCAGGAAGGCTGGACCAGAGATTGGGTTACTACAGCTGGGGGCGCAGACACTGTTACAAGGCAAAGGCAGGGGAGAGGCAAGAGCAAAGTTCCTTGTGTTGTTACCGCAGCTCAGCTCTCTCTCCTGCTCTAGCCACCCAGTCCAGCATACTAGTTCAAATCAGGTATCAATCCAGATCTTTCTAGCAGTTTCTGGTATTTCTGATCTTTTGCCTCTTAAGTTATACCTGGGTTTATCTCAGGTAGGTGCCCATTGGGCATATAGGAACGAGAACTGCAATCTCAGGCAACAGATTGTCTCAACATGAGGTCTGTGGAAAGATA